GTTACTAGTAGCGATGCACTTAGTAGCTTCTTGTTCCTACTAGTAAGTAGCGATGCACTTGTTCTTAGTAGCTTCAGTGGAACTTCAAGGATTTCACCTTGAAGGGGCTGAGAACATCTGCTCTGCCAGAATCCATGTCAAAAGTTGGCCATTTGCCTCTCAGGTCTTATTCGTGTCTCTTGACCGCAAGAAGCTTCGTCTCTGGGTTAGGTTCTCTAATGATGAATGTAGTGGTAGTCAATAGCAGCTCTTGACGTGACTCTACCAACATAGGCTTCTTCGCTGTCCAAGTGAATGATGCTCTCAATGAAGATAGTATCGAATACCTTTTGCTTTGTCGAGTTTGATCCACATACCTTCACTCACCTGGCAGAGCTGGAATCAGCAGTTTTGCGTCAAAGTCACTTGAGGTGAAAATGGAGTTGAGCGAAACTGTGGTGTCGGGATCCCATTCATCTGAAGACGTCTTCAGGGGGTTAACGAACCAAACAAGACCCACATGTTTTCGTGCTAAAGCCACCAGTGGCCATGCAAACGGTGCTCTTGTACATGAGAAGCGTTCTTACATGGGAATGACAGACGCAAAAAAGAGCTTGGAAAGGTAAGTTTGCTCTTGGCTCATCCTGAAAGGATTTGGGACTCTTGGAGGCCATCGCTTTTAGGAGGGAGAGCAGGCAAAAAGAAAGACGCCTGAGATGGGCCGAGGCGTTCCCAGAGGTTTGGAATGTCCGCTGCACGATCTCTGATGGCCGGGCTGGACCGCAGGATCTCAAGGTGGGAAAGACTGGGATCCTGAATCGGAGATGAGCGGACCATCCAGATCTTCCTGAAGATGAGTGGAGCATCTGAGCATAGATCTGAAATCAATTAAAGATATGCTTGGCTTGTTTGCTTCGATGGTTTTTGGAGGAACATGAACGGGAAGCGCAAGAAATGGGATGTTTAAAGCACGACGTGCCTTGTGTTGTTGTGGTGGGAGTGAATTTGCAGGTGGTGATTGATGGTCAAGGTTGCCCACAGTTCACGAACGTCACCATCGCGATGTTTCTTTGGCAGCACAATATCATGAACTTTTATAAGAACACTTCATCCATTATAAATCCTATGATTTTCACCAAAGAACCAAGAGTATCATTTCCATGAACACAGGGTAAAGAAGTCTAGAACACCAAAGCTTGACTTGAGCTAGAGCATTACTTGCTTAGCATATTCACAGTGTTGCACACTTGTCACCGAGGCCTTTGCCTCACATCGAATTTGTGCCTATGATCTATTCAGCACAGAGCTGAGTCAGTAGTATATAGCATGATGTCATCTAGCCATCCAGTGGCCATCCAAGCCATGTACCTGTGGCATGGCACCTTCCTATTTATAGCCTTTGTCAATCTTTGTCAGCTATCATGGCGAGTGGATGCGGATCTACTCCATGACGCTCAGTGTGACACTCAGGTACAACCATCAATTGGCAGTTGGGTCGGTTTCTCAGGTCAGAGAGGAGGGCGCATTATCATTATCACGGTCAATGGGCACGACATTGGCTCAAGCAGCGGTGGCGAAGAATCTTGTGGGTAGCGTAAAAGGCAATTGTCTGAATTTAGTACCGGAGATGTTTAATGCGGACCCTTAAGCTTCTGGTGCCGATGGCTAGGCCGGTGGCACTGTGGTGGTGCTCACTGGCTATGGCTTGCAAGGAGACGAGGCCATGCAACGTTTCATCATCACTCTTCCAAACGACAGGAGTTTGTGATGCATTCGTTCAGATGTTCCGGATCATCCAACATGCACATGTAGAGATCTTCGGAGATTACACCCCAGGCAGAAAAGATTTGTGAAAGAGTTGAATGTCTTAGATGACGGCTTCTTGCTCCTAGTAGCGATGCCCTTTGCTCCTAGTAGCGTCCTTGCTCCTAGTAGCGATGGCCTGCTTCGGTTCAAGAATGGTTCAAGAAAATCGTTCAATTCATTCATTTGTGTATCGTTTGCGTCGCTGGAGGCGTGCGAGTTGGTGCACTTTGGGGAGCGGAGACTGCTAGAGGTGCCATCGGACTACTACGAGGAGAACAAGGGAAGGGAAGAGGTGCGAGAAGGCGCTTGAAGGATTGGGACATAAGGTGAGGTGGAAAAAGAGATGCTACTAGAGGCTCCTGGCATCGCTACTAGGAGCAAGGACGCTACTAGGGACTCCTGGCCTTACTACTAGGAGCAAGTAGCTACTAGATTTGAGGCCATCGCTTTTATTGATGGGGGTTTCTTAGTGGGGTTTGTCAGAAACGGTTGGTGTAGCCAACGGCTTGGGGGTTAAAACATTGCCACTTCAGTGGGAAGAGCCCTTTCCTTGAAGCAGGGGTGGTTGATGGGTCCCCAGTTCTTGTCGCTTTGATCCTGAAAGACGTTGGTGACTGAACGACTGTGACAAGCCACAGGAGGAGGATGTGCCAGCGATAGGGTCAGCAGCCAAGAGTTTGACGGTCGACACATCGAGTGTTCAGCGCTGTTGGGTGTTGCACTTGATGCAGAACTCGGAATTAGTAGCGTGGCACTTGTTACTACTAGTAAGGCACTTGTTACTACTAGCGTGGCACTTGTTGATCAGCATGAGTTTGCGAGGCACTCTTTTTGCGGTTGCTTGCATTGATCACTATGAAACTTCGGTCTGTGCCGCACAACCTTTGATTTGTCGACCGCTACTAGCAACAAGGGCATCGCTACTAGGAACAAGGGCATTACTTGCAGTAGTAGTAGTAGTAGCAGCGAGAAAAGAAACTATTAGGTTGGAGGCCATAGCTAGTAGTAGCAGAAGCTCCTCCCGCACCATCCGTGACTCAAGTGAGTGGCGGCGAGCGGCTGATCTGGTCACCGAGGCGACGGATCCGCTGCATGGTACCGGCAGCACCCATGAGACCGAAGGCAAGACAACGGAGGGGAGTTCGTTTCATGCGTGATATATACAAGTGTTGTGAGCTGCCTAAGAATGTCTAAACAGAAACTATGAATTACATGTTTAGAAAAACATAGAAGAACAATACAAACACACAAAAAGCATTGCAAACAAAATAGGGGACAGTCTGCGATAGAAACCAACAACTTCCAGAGGATGAACATAGGCCAGCACTTCTACTGGCCCGGCCTGCTCAGAGCAGAAATATGCTGTTTGTGGATTTTAATCTTACAGAGTATGGCTTGACAGGCGTCCTGCTCTTGTTTGAAACTCTTGTCTTCGAATGTGGATGCCAACAACATTGAAGTATACACGACCTAGCACACGTTACATTTTTTATATGAAACCTGTTGACGGCTTCTGAAGGTTGTGGTGTTTGAAGGAGGGCTCCTGTTGAGGGCGTTCTTCTCTTGTGAGGCTTCTTGGTGTCAGGCAACAACCTAGTGTTCATGCTCATTGTGAACTGTGTGCCCTAGTTTTCTTGTATTGTCATTTGTATTACAGTTTTTCGGTTGTATTCATTCGAGATAGCTTTAATCCAGGTCACAGTATCAGTGTGTTTAGCACTGACTATACACTCTGGCGCGCGTGGTTTGGAGTTGTATTGTAATTACACAAAACTGAAACAATTGCCAATCCTCACAGGTTTTTTGGACTCTTCCAGGCCTGCGAAATCCGCCCAGAAATTGGGAACTGCGACCTTGTGGACGATTTGGCGGGGAGCTTTGTGGACGATTTAGGGTAAGAGGCCATCGCAAGTAGGTTGGAGTTCTTCCAAGACAAGCAAACGAACAAAGAGACGAAGAATCAAATCAAAAGGAAGTGGTATGAGTATCCTCGGAACCAGCACCAGAACACTACGCTTCTATGAACTGAAACACCTTTGTATCACAAGAGCCCTTCGTATCGGAGATGAGGGACAGCGGACAGCAAGGTTTGCTTGCTGACCAAGGCTGTTCCAGTGACAGTAGCCGGTCATGCCACACAGTCACGCTTGGAGTTTGTTTTTGGGGTGTGTCGTTGTCGTTGTCGTTGTCGTTGTCGTCGTCGTTGTCGTCGTCGTTGTTGTCGTCGTTGTTGAGGGGAGCAAGTCGACGACTGTTCAGATCATCGCCATCGCAATTTGCTTGCATGTGCAATTTGCGAGCCACGACCTGGGCAGTTGTTGTATGTTGTTTTGCATGCTGATGATATTTGCTTAATTGTTTTTGGCACAAAGGACAGGTAGGATGACAACACTTATACTCGATCAGACAATCCTTTCACCCTTTGGCTGCATTTCTGCACCATGCAGCACCATAGCAAATATAGTAGGAAGCACTTTTGGTCTTCGAATCTGAGAACTTTTCTTCCGAATGGTTTTAAGACAATTTCCTTTAGAACACATGATTTGCTGAAGTAGAATTCAAATATGCAGCCCACTTTCTCGCCATGGAGATGCCGAACTTGGGGCATTGTAAGCCTTCTAGTCTGGTGTGTGAGCCTTGCCGAGGAGAATGTCTTGGTGGCTGAATTCAAACAAGATTTCCTGGATTTTGATTTGAACAAAGACAACCAGATTGATGCGCAAGAGGTCCGTGCACAGTTTAAGGGCGAGTTGGACGCCAAAGAACTGCATCAATTCTTTCTCGACGTGGATAAAGACTTGTCCGGGACGATCTCAATGGATGAGTACATCGATTATGCAGCTTCGTTGAACACTGCTGAGCGATAGTATCACCGGCTGCAAGGCTTCGCAGGCTTTGGTGAGGGATGCCGATCGAGCAAAAAAAGTCCAATTGCTGCGCCCGATAGACCGAACCTCAAATTGTTCGACGCTTCGGCAGGGAATTCTTGGCCATGTCCAAATAATTAGGTTGGAGGCCATGGCTATTAGGTTGGAGTTCATTAAAAAGCCATGTCCAATTCAATGTTTAGACTCTGGTTAAAGACAAAGAGCAAGGATGCTACTAGGGGCTCCTGGCATCGCTACTAGGAGCAAGTAGCTGCTAGGAACAAGACGCTACTAGGGGCTCCTGGGTTAAAGAAAGACAAAGAGTTCGGTTTCGCACATCGCTTTGCCAGGCCACAGACTTCCTCTTCAATTACAGCAGCTCCATGACTCCTGTGGTCACCAGCATCTCACCATCACGTTCGGCAGCGATCAGCTGCCCGGCATTTCAGGATGCCCAGTCGCTCTAGTAGCTTCTAGTTGTAGCGTTCTTGCTCCTAGCAGCGATGCCCTTTGTTACTAGTAGCGTTCTTGCTCCTAGTAGTAAGGCCAGGAGCCCCTAGTATTTAGACATTAAGCTGAATGCTCAAACGTGTGGAAGAACCAAGGTGGCATGGTGCACGTGAAGGGCTTCGGATTTCCAAGTGTGTCGCGTCTGGAGCTTATTTATCTTGATTTCACCACCTGCCTTGGACACCTAGACACTTTGGAACCGATTGGATGCTCAGAAAGCAACAGGTTGTGAACACATCCTTTCCGATCAAGGATCCCATGCCTTTGCTCCATGTCCAACTGTGAAACACTTGGTCTCAAGCTCAGAAAGACAGATTGCATTGTTTTTCCCGAAAGCATTGCGAAGGGTTCTTCCGGAAAATCACTTGAACATGTACACTGCTATACTTACACTTGAACACTTACACTTCTATACTTACAATGGCACTAGTAGCAAGGACGCTACTAGGGGCTCCTGGCCTCGCTACTAGGAGCAAGGACGCTACTAGGGGCTCCTGGCCTTACTAGGAGCAAGGACGCTACATCTACAACCTTCGCCTTTGAGGTGTTGCATATCGGTGACCAGACTTGTCGCATTGAGGCTGGTATGATAGCATCAGTATGAGACAGCTTGGTCAAGTTCCAAAAGGGGTTGGATGGTTTGTTTCGGAATAGGGACAAGGGCATCACTACTAGTAGGCTCTTTTGGCGTTGGATGTTTGTTTTGGAAATGGACCTTTGCCCCACTGCCCACTCATTCTTCAGCCAGAACTTGAGAGGAGTCTTCATCCAGTTCTCTCAGCTGCTTTCTCATTCGGCGCTCGGCTTAGTCGGTAGAGACTCGGATTCACTCGGCTCATTTCGGATACTCAGCATGCGACACATAATAGACAAAACAGGGTGCTGCTTCCTGAAGGAAATGAAGCCGATCCATGTCAGTTTGGTTTCTGATTCTAGACACCAGATCAGTGGTTTGGCGTGTCCTGCAGGCACCCACCAGTGCCATCTGGACAGAGTGAAGTGGAGCACGGGGCACTCAGACTTGCGCTGATGAGCCAATTTGTTCTGGACAGCACTGGCAAGCCATTTAGACTCTCCTCTGAGGACAACAGTGTCCTCTAACAATCTTCAAGATGTACTTTCTCGTGCTTTAAAGAGCAGATGCAACAATGTAGAAGCACCGTGAATCAAACATGTGCTTAGGCTTATCAGCATCTTCATCCCCAAACCTCTCACCTGCTTGCCCTTGACCATTGTGCAACAGCCAAGGCTTTGGATGTTGGGGGCCGGCTTCGCGGTGATCATGCCGCCAGGGGTCACCCAGAGGGAAGCATGTTTCACCAGCTTGAGGAATAAAGCATGCCTCAGAATCTTTCAGCTTGTTTCAGCAAGAGAGATTAAGACTTAAGAGCATAAGAGAGCCCCCTCGTCGTGGCAACTTGTCCTTCTGAGACCTTGTGCAACTGAGCGGGGAGTTCAAAGGAATCTAATTTCGGGGTCCTCTTCCCTTGAGTCACTGACGCTAGTAGGTTGACTCTTAGGTTTGAGGCCATGGCTAATTACATTATGTTCGCTACTAGGTTGGCATGAATAGACAAAACACGCTAGTAGGCCGGTTCCTGAAGTCTGAGTTCACTGATGCATGTCATGTGGCCGAGGGAGACGATATACTTCCATGCATTTGCGGTGACAAAGGCGACCCCTTGCGTTTGCCGTTGGGTGGTTTCAAACGCTTGACGTCTTGTAGTTTTTTCCTGAGGCTTCCCAAGGAAGCTTCTTGTTACTCTACTAGTAGCGATGGCCTCGAACCTACTAGCGATGGCCTCCAACCTAGTAGTGATGGCCTCCAACCTAGTAGCGATGGCCTCCACCCTAGTAGTGATGG